GGAGGCTTCAACCATGTCGAGCTCAAGACAGTGCTGCCCAAGCTTCAAAAAAACACGTCATCTTCCCCACAAGAGACAATCACTTCTTGGACCAGGTGTACACAAACATCAGGGGAGCTTAGAAAGCTGCAGCAGCCCCACACCTTGGCCTTTCAGACCACATCTCCCTGTCTTCCCACTCCAAGAAAGTCCAGCAACCAGTATACCAAGCTCAATATGAGCAGTTTTTATTTCCTTCAGAGGGAGACATGAGCTAACATAAGAAACTCTAACTGAACCTTAGTGTCCCCAAATAAAGAAAAGATAAATAAATAACAATTAACTAACCTACCTTCTATGACAAACAAAAGAGGAGAAAAAGGGTTCAAAGAAAAAGGTCTTCTCCTTCCTACTACTGCTCTACTATAATTCACAAGTATTCTACAGGTTTTCACAAAGTTCGCAAAATCCACAGCACACCAACTATCTCATTACTGCTGCATCCCTCTACAGATCAGACAACTATGATGTGGCATGCTGGAGTTTCCTGGTGGTGGCAAGGCTGGAGAGATGAGGAGACAAAGTGCAGTAGTGCAGGCTGTTCAAATAGATTAAGGACCCGCCCCCTGGCCAATCGTGTGGCAGGAATCAGACGAGGCAGCCAATAAGCGACACCACCTGCTCATAATTCACTCATTCAAAAGTCACACTAACTAAGGAGAAAAAACACTGTAGCAAAACACAGATAAAACTACAAGTGACCCAAAAACTACAAATCACCCAGAGTGTCATAACAAGGATGCTGTCTCAGTTGCACTTCCTACAGCCCTAACCCACCTGGAGCAGCAAAATACCTACATCAGGATGCTCTTTGTGGATTTTAGCAGTGCCTTCAATACTGTAATCCCCATAAACTGATACACAAACTCACCAATTTTGGACTCTTCACCACACTAAGCTCATGGGACTTTCTGACCAACAGGCCTGAGAATGTCAGGATGGGGAACTTGACATCCAGCACTATAACCGTGAACACGGGCACGCCGCAGGGGTGTGCGCTTAGTGCGGCACTCTTCACCCTCTTCACCATGAACTGTGTCCCCACCCACTCTTCCAAAACTGATAAAGTGTGCCAACAATACTACGGTGGTAGGCCTTGTAAGGACAACAACAAGACCTGGTCCAGGCAGGCGGTCCAACATCTGGTAGGGTGGTGCGCAGACAACGACCTGGTCCTCAACACCACCAAAACAAAGGAAGTCATCATAGATTTCAGGAGGACCAGAAGAGTCATACAGTCCCCACCAGTGGCGGCTGGTGAAAATTTTTAGTGGGGGGGGCGCAGTCTGCAAATGACCTTTTCTTTAAAATCAGAAATTAGAACATGAGTAACATCATCAATTTACAGGAATGGGAGTACCAGTACGACCCACTTTCTCATTTTGTTGCACCTCCCACCTGGAAAAAGGCAAAACATTTGACTTGCTGAACATTTTGTTATCGATAGATGCTACGATTTACTGATGCTCCCTGAACGCCCCACATAGCAGGATGTGGGAGCTGCTGTTGGTGACTGTGGTGCTCTGACAGGTGTGTCACCAAAAATGACTTCAAAATTAATAAACTAGAGCGTTCTCATGTTACATTTGTCCAAGGTTAAACCGAGTTACATTTATTCTACACGCGGTCTTTTCTACAAGCGGAAAAACGCTCCGTTTTTCACAAGACCTTATTTTTAAGCGTTAATACCGCACTACACCAAAGTTATAAAAGTACTACTTTCCACCACTGTGGTCCACACAGCAGCTTCCTGTGCCGGTTACAGCGACACTAATACAGCTTCATGCTCATCAATTCACACAGCCTCAAAAAAAGGTTGCAAATGCAGTCTGGAGCCCTGCTATTTGAACAACACGTTGGCTCTTCTCTCTTTCTGCTCAGCAAACTTCTCTATGACTTTTCGGTCACTCACCTCTGTGGCCAGCCTTTTCTCTATTGACAGCATGGCCAATGCATTAAGCCGTCACGACTGTAGCTGTCGTCTAGTAGAAGAGCGACGGGACAGGCCATGTGACGGTGTTACATATGTATTTAAAGCACAGTCGTAAGAACATCAAGACAATACTACTTGGCTTACAGCAAAAGTGGACAGTGTGCCCCGTGAGAAAATCTGCAGCTGCCAATCAGAGCCCAGGCCAAGGTCACATGATAACGAAAAGTGTTTCGAGCCACACACCACTCATGTGGCGCCCCGCATCCAGGAAGTGTAAAATTAGTAAACAGGCTGTAAAACCTCATTTTATATTGGTTAATAATACAAATATTGTTAATATGGTAAAAGAATATGAACGTTATTATTCATTTTAGTATTATTTTGTTAATGTTAATTCAAATTGAATGTCGTTTTTGAGAACTACTTTTTATCTGGTCATTAGTAGGGGGGAGTGCCAACCATAGACTGTATAAAAGATGGACGTAGCAACTGGCCCCGAAAAATGAAGCCAAGTGTCAAAAACCTGCAATACCACTACGTCCGCTAGTCCTGGCTCCAAAAAGCCCTGGCTCCCATAGAAATGAACTGGAAAAGAAGTGATCACAGATCATGAAATACTGCATTCCTCCAGCTCAGGATTTTATTTTTTTATTCGTTTTCATGGTCAAGTCCAGAGATCAGGTGGCCAATCTGAAAATAAATCAATACTGAATTTTTAAAAAATCAACACTTTGCGGGGCAAGGGGCGTGGCTGGCTTGATTGACAGTCGGCAGCGACCATACAGATGAAGCCAGCAGAAGGCGGTAAATGTGGGCGGGCAGAGAGGGCCCGCCCCTCAATCCGTCTGACCAATCACTGCTCCTATGGCTCCACCCCCCCTCCGACGATTTTTGCGTCAATAGCTCCAAAAATCCAAGATGTCAACCAGGAAGTAGCAAAACCCTGGCTTCATTTTCTCAGAGCAGAAGCCAACGGGTGACGTCACGGAAGCTACGTCCATCTTTTATACAGTCTATGGTGCCAACAAAGTTTCATTAAGTAGAAATGCAATGGCAATAAATATTCTTGATCTTTGTTCCTTAGTCCCTCATAATAAATGGTCAAAGTCAAAACAACATGTGAGGGCTGAGAAAATGTGCACAAAGAAAGTGGTGCACACAGTTTTCACAACTATAAGCATGCAAATCAATCGAACATTTTAATCTAAAAGTGGCACTTTTTGCAATGGGTGGTTTATGAGACAACGGGCACCCTGAGCCACATAGTGATACTAATAAATAAAAGTTCTCCTGGCATACTTATCAAAAGCAGATTCAAATCAGCACCAGGGACAAAAACAACCAAAACTTTTTACCAAATTAAAACTGATTTAATTTGATCTTCTCAACCCTTTTTCTTTCTTTCTTTCTTTCTTTTTTTTTAGCTGAATTCGCTTTTATTTGCATAGCACCAATGCATAACTTCAGTCATATCAAGCCAGTTCACATAGTAAGACGAAGACCTTGTAATATTATATTAAAGAGAGAGAAGCCCAACAAATCCAAAGATTGTCTTTGAACCAGTTTTTTGGCGACAGTAGGAGGAAAAAATTGCCCTTTAACAGGAAGCGCAAACTTCTGGGAGGGCAGTGATGGGAAAGGGGAGATTATAAAAGATAACAGGCAGATATCAGACAACCAACATGTAATAGACCAATAAACACTTGGGTGGATGGTGAAGCCAGTAATTGCACATCAGACACACAAGGTGGAAAAATAAAACTAATAAATCATGTTTTTAACAAAGTTTAGGCTGTAGCATTAGCTGAGGTTAGCTGGTACCGAAATAGCTACACCTAATAAAATCTGCTACCTACATACAACTGACAAATTATTGTGTTTTTACACTTTTGTTTACTTTTTCTGGAAATAAAACATAGAACTGGTAATCTGTTAGTGATAAATTTGTTATATGTTTAACAACTAACATTTCTAAATAAACAAGGTAAAAACATTCAAGTGTCTCAGCTACAAAAGACAAATCATTATTGTGATTTTCCTTATAAGTTTACTTTTTTCTGCTTTTGCCTATGATTAAATATTTCATGGTTTACTGCAAATGTAAACAGATAAACCCGTTTTGTGTTGGACAAATAACATTTCAATTACTTTTTTATCCACAGTACTGCACTGTGATACTATATGGTAACGAGTACTGCTATGCAATACACAAACTGCTGCTTCTTCTTTTTGTTAGCATAAATTGTATAATGTCCTGTGTGGACATAATGTGAGTATTTACCATCCTTTTACTGGGCTCTCATTTTTAAATAAATGGGGTGGAAAGTCATATTTTGAATAAATTAGTTTTAGCTGTAGCATTAGCTTAGGTCAGCTGGCAGCTAACAAGCTTTAGCTAATATAATCTGCTCGCTACAGGGAACAAAATCAAATCTACTTTTGTTTATTTTTGCCTGTATAAAATATAGAATGTTTTATTGCACATTTAAAGAGCTTAATCTGTCTTATGTAGGACAAATAACATTTCAGCTTTATTTTTATTTACAATACTGCACAGTGATGCTATGTGGCTAACTAGCGTTGCTATGCAATACACAAATAGCTGCTCTGTCATTTTTATTAAGTACTTGTCATGTATGTAGCCATAACATCTGTATTTATGATACTTTTACTGGGCTCTCACTTTAAAATATATAATTTCTAAACATTTAAAACATTTAACAGAGGAGTCTTAGCTGTAACACTAGCTTAGGTTAGCTGGAGAACAACTAGCTACAGCTAATTGAAAAAAAGCGCTAGTGTGCTTTTTCTTCTTTTGTCAGCAATTAGATACTACGAATTTAAAGAGACAACATTTTTTCTTTTTGGTAAAGTTGCTCGGTGCCAAGAATGTCCAGGTGTGATTAAAAAATAACAGAGCTGTGACTGACTTTGCATATGCTTTTACATTGAAAGTCACGTCTCGTCCTCCCCCCAGTGCTAACTCAGCGGAATTGACGCACCTCCAGCAGCACAAGAAGCACTTTGTCTCGGCAGAGGGGGGTGTTGACAGGAGAAAGAAAGGGGGGAGGTGGAGGGAGACTCAATTGGACTGGCCCGGCTCACTTGCACCGCAGACCCTGCAGCAGGACAGCGGAGGCCCGGGGAGGTTTACCGAGGAGGGCCGCGGAGGAAAAAAAAGGAGGGGGGTGGGATCTCCAGGTGGACAGGACACGGAGGGTGGGGAGGGGGACACACACACACACACACACACACTCATACAAGGGGGGGGATGCAGCAGGACGCCGGTCTCGGAAGGATCCCGCTCGATTCCTCCTCGCATTCCGCAGGGCTGTAATGATGGTGGTGATGCACCGGGAGCAGAGATCCGCGCAGAGCCCGACACACTGCACCACAGCCCCGCACCCTTACCGCCGCAGGGACAGACGCAAGAGCGGATTTTCAGAGCGACGCTTGAGCCGAGCGAGCGGGTGAAACCACCTTTGCGGCTCCATTCATACTTCCGAAGCCCATCTGCGGGGATGCGACGGGGGTCTGAGGCGAGCCCGGTGCTGCTGCTGCTGCTGCTGCTGCGTTTTCCACCACCGCTTCGGATGAGCACGCACGGCTTGTTTTGAGCAGAGCAGAAGTGGAGGGGGGAAAGATGTTGGTGCGATGCTACCGGGGCAGGCTGTCGATCTGGGCCGTTCTGTGCCTGCTGGTGCTCTGCTGGTTCTACGTGTACCCGGTCTACAGGCTCCCCCGCGATAAAGACATAGTGGAGGAGGTGCTGAGGCAGGGGGAGGCATGGCAGAGGAACCAGACGGGCATCGATTTATACAGGTGGGACTCAGATTTCTGTTTTTAGTGAGGCCTTTTGCTGCCAAGACTCCCAAAGTGGGTCAAATTAGATTAGCAGCTTTTTAATAAGTGAGCATTAAAAAAACAAAACAACTGAAGGCCTTCTTAAAGCTTTCAAACTATCACTGTGCAGGATGATCACAGTCATTAATGTACACACAGACCTGTTTCATTTGTGTTTTCAAATCAGCAGTTCTCTACACTGTGCCAGTCTTATTTAAATCTTATTCAGCTGAGGATGTGACAGTCCTCTGAGGCAAAGCCGATTAGGATAATCAGAGAAAGTGACACCTGCAGAGCAGAGGGACGGGGCCAGCTGGAGGATGCGATGCTCACTTTTGCCCGCTAATGTTTTCTTATGAGGACGATCAGCCTCTTTTTGAGTGTTCACATCAGTGCAACTCCAGTGTAGTGTTATTTAATCATAGCCTGAAACATTCTCCCATCCCATAACCGACCACACAGCTCTCTTATCATAATACACATCTTAAATAATTAAGCAATGAGCGAGGCCTGACACATACCAGAATCCCAGCTGCCCTGTTGAATCTGATTTAAACCGTCCAGGGATCGGACTTATTCTATTATCCTCCCTGTGCAGGAAGTTGCTGAGGGAATGCTGCAACCCGAGGCAGATGTTTGCAGTGACCAAGGAGAACTCGCCGATAGGAAAGGTCCTTTGGTACGATGGGGAGTTTTACCACAAGCACACGGTCACCAACGAGACCTACTCGCTCTTTGTGCAGGTAAGTTAACATAAAAAGCTTCTCTCATATTCCCAATATGATGGCTGCATTGGAGTCTGTTCAGGCATCACTCACAGAAGGGTGTGAGTCTTTTACTCAGTGTTGGGTTTTGGAGGGTTTTTTTTTTTCCCCCTCCTCCTCAGAGAGCCACAGATTTCAGTGAAATCCCCCAGCAACATGACTTTAGGACCAGGCAGCTGTGTTTTCGAGGAGTAACCGAGACCAGATGACGGAAAGCGATTTCTCTCCCACTCAGCGCAATAGGACACTTGTTCTAGAGACTGTGGGTTTTTAACAGAGATCCTTGTTGATCCATAGCAGAGTAGGAGAGGAGGAGGAGGAGGGGGAGCAGACAGACATCCTCCAAAGAGAGGAGGGGGTAGGGGATTACCGGTACAGCCGATGTTAAGACGTGGAGATGCGAGAGGAGGAGCAGGTTGGAGAGCAGCGAGGCCGCTTAAAGCAAGTGAATGAAAGCTGGAACCCACAAGACCCACAGTCACCTTTCGTTTTCATTCGACCGCGTGCTTTCAGTCACCGTTTGCCCCCCTGAACCAGCAGGATGGGAAGGTGCAGATAAGGACAGATTCTGAAGAAAGTGTTTGCGGATCATTCATATATTTTTTTGTTTTACATTGAATCAGGCTCCCACGCTGTGTTTACCTTTTCAAAAGGATCTGTCCTGCTGTGTTTATTCTACTTCAGCTTAAGATATGGGTGTTTAAACCATGAGGATGGAAGGATGTGCTGCCAAGTTATTTCCCCTTTCCTTTTCCTATGTTGAGAAAGCTCTGCAGCGTAGCTCAAACAAGTACCCAGAGTGTGTATATGTGCCTCCGTGCATATGTGTGTGTGCGCACCCAGATAAGGACTGCCGGTCTATTTTTAAAGACATCCATGCCTGCAAGTGTGTGCGTGTGTGTGTGTGTGTGCGTGCATTTGGATGAGGGTGTTTATGTGTTTGTGCTCGGAAACGGGACAAAATGAGAAACTCGGGGGCAAGTGCTGTTGCCATGGTTTTTGTATCCAGGGGCAGTAGATCTCAATAATAATCAAGACTGAATCCCGCCACTGAGGCCCCCGAAGATCTGCAGTGTAATATCCTGGATGGGAAAATGTGATGAATATCTGACCCTAATTTGCGGGTGTGAGCTATGCATGTTCATTCATGAAGGATGGAGGGAGGGAGGAAGGGGGGGAAGGGAGAGGAGATGAGGGTGAATAATTAAAGAAGTGAGAATACGAAGTGAGAGTGGTGGAGCTGGACCACAGCCTGTGTGTGTGCATTAATGTACAGCAGTGGGTCTGACTTCTATGTAAGTGGGGGGTTTTGTTTGTGCAGCAGAATTTGCATGTTGTGTCGTCGCTCAGCTTGAAATCAGAAGAAGACGATGAGGTGATTCGTCGAAATTAATGAATTCGGCTATTTTCAGATTAATCATTCAAGCTGTTTTTTTTTAAACAGCAGTGCCAAAGATTATCTGGTTCCAGCTGTTTTCCATTTGTTTCATAGGATACTTAAATAACTGACTGTAAATCTAGTGAGGGATAACGAGGTGTCCATAATCAGGATTTAATTCCTGATTATGGACACCTCTAATCGCATCATCCTGCTCGCACCATAATCTCTCAGTAAACAAAAAAAACCCAGTTCATTTTTATTTTCATGCATCGGAAGTTTTTCACAAGCCGTAACTCACTTTCTCTGAGGGTTTGACTGATATCTGGAACAGTCATTATCATTCCTTACATTTCTAATGCAGTGGAAACGTTGTGCTCCTGTGAACCTTCCATGTGACTTGGTGAATCCAGATCCTCCTACTGTCCCTGTCAACTCAGATGCTGACTGCAAAATGTTTTTTTTAATCTTATTTTAATGATAAGGTGGAGTCAATCAGAGCCTCGATTCCCCCCAGTGCCTCTTTTAATGATGTTATTTACCAAAAAAAAGACATTTTTAGCCAGTTTTATCCAATAACCCTATCTGAACTTTTAGAAGTGGTTTTACATACAAGAGTGTCTTCCAGCCCTCTTGATGTGATATCTACCAAGTTTTTAGTACAGGTAATTGATACGATTGGACCCAATCTGCTCTCTGTTTTTAACAGCTCCTTGGATACTGGTTTGTCCCTGATTATTTTAAGACTGGATGTGTGACCCCACTGCTGAAAAAGCCTGGGCTGGATCCATCTCAGCACCAATTATAGACCAGTTTCCAAGCTACCTTTTATTTCAAAAAATTTTAGAAAAAAAAGTGGCCACGCGGTTTTTAGCAGCACTTGAGGATAACCAGGTCTTTGAAAAGTTCTAGTCTGGTTTCCGGAAGTACCACAGCACTGAAATGGCCCTGCTCAAGGTGACCGATAATCTTTTAATGGCAGCAGATGATGGTATATATACGCCATCTTGGTACTTCTGGACTTCCGTGCTGCATTTGATCACAGCATTCTTTTAAACCGACTGAGGCACTGGGTGGGCATTTCAGGTATCGTTTTAGAGTGGTTTCTATGTAACCTTACGAATAGAAGGTTTTGTGTTGCAGCAAACCAACCCCATGTCGTCATTTTATCCAGTGAAGTATGGTGTGCCTCAGGGGTCTGTTTTAGGTCCAGTTTTATTTTCTTTATACATGCTTCCCCTGGGGCACATAATACAAAGACACTGTGTTTTATTTCATTTTTATGCTGACGACACGCAGTTGTACCTGCCTGTTAAGGCCACTGACCCTGGGAAGTTGAGTGCTTTAAATGACTGTATCGAGGATGTGAGAAACTGGATGTCAGAGAACTTCCTTCAGCTGAACAACAGCAAAACAGATTTTATCTTGAACTTTGAAAAACACACCGCAAAACTCATACAGTCATGTTTTTATCATCTTTGAAATATTTCAAAGATTCGTTCTCATTTAACTTTTAAAGATACAGAGACGATTTTACATGCTTTTGTTTCCTCACGGCTGGATTACTGCAACAGCCTTTTTACTTGTCTTAGCCAGAAATCCTTGGACAGATTACTGAGTGCAGAACTCACTGCCAGGCTTCTAACCAGGAAGAGGAAACGTGAGCACATCACGCCTGTTTTAGCTCTTTTACATTGGCTGCCAGTACGTTTTAGGATTGATTTTAAGATTTTATTAATCACTTTTAAAGCACTCAACAGTCTCTGTCCTATTTACATTGCCGACCTTTTAACTCCGTATTCTCCACTACGCTCCTTACGATCCTCGGGCAAAGGTCTTTTAACTGTCCCAGAGGCCCGGCTGAAAACAAAGGCCGAGGCTCTGGAATGACCTGTCCGAGGAAATCAGTCATGTAATTCTGTGTTCTCTTTTAAGTCACTTCTTAAAATACATTTTTATCAGATAACTTTTCCTGATTTTATTAAGTTTTATGTGTTTTAGGTTCCTGCTTTTTGTGTGTGCGTTCTACTTTTATCAGTTATTCTGTGTGCTTATTGTATTTTAATTTTTAATTTATTTTATTGAACAGCACATTGTGACATTTGTTTTGAAAAGTGCTCTATAAATAAAGCTTATTATTATTATTATTATGACTTGGCAATGGGAGATTTATTTAGGCAGAAAGCTGACGTTTGCTAGATTCAACGTAACACTATGTAGGTGCTGCACACCTTCAATGAACCGACAAAAACACCTCCCATCTTCATTTTTTTTGCCACACTTAATGGATGAAAGCTCACAGATCAGTGCACGTTGTTTTCTTTCAGCCTGAACACTGTGCGTCCTCATAAAGAGATAGTGCATTTCCTTACAAAAAGGGCCAGACCACTCAGTTTCCTAATCTCCTAATTTCTTTAATCTCATTTCAGCACAGATATGATCGAACGAAAACATGGAAATTAGATAAATGAATTCAACTCAATGAACTGGCAACAGAATGCAAATTAATAATTTTATTGTTACAGCTGACAAACAGTAAGTATAGTCTGACAGTTTGTTTTACAGCAAAACGAGCTGAATAATGAGCCGTGTCATTGTCGCGAAATCAATACCGAGATCTGCACAAACAGATGATCGGCCAGGTGTGCCGCCGGCTGTAGCCTCGAGCAGTGAACTGAATTACGAATGGGGATGTCATACAAAGAATCAATAGGCTCTGGCTGCGTCCCTGTTGCTATGGCTACCCTCTAGATACAGCGCCGGGCTGAGCTCGCCCATTAATTTAGAACAGACAGGAACGACTCAGTAGATGCCCTTTTTGAGGAATCGAGGATTCACCCCGACAGTTGTATAGGTAATTTCTCAACTGTTTTGCTGACGAAAATCTTAAATTGAATCAAATAAAATGAATACATCAATGAGGAATTAAGCTTATTGTTATAACGGAAGGTCTTTAGATGCTGCATCCACTGCTGAAGTTTATGACCCAACTCCATTTTTCATTATTTACAGTTTCTGAGTCTAAATAACTCAATAGCAGCACGTCTTTCTGGAAGAACATCGTGCACCTCTATGGAAACAGCACAACAATGTCTAGAAGTAGAGGAAATCCAATAATGTCTTCCATGTAGTATTACAAAATTATAATGCCATATATCATAAAAAAGAAAAATGACATTTCTATTTTACAAAAATGTAAAAATTCTGGCATCAGTGTGTCCAACAATTTTTTCCAAGCATCCACAGTCATTACCAACCCTGGAATGGAAACATGGGAACCAAAAAAATAGCTCTGCACACTAAAGGTGTTCTACCACATACATTTTAAGTTTCTTTCCGTACTTATCTCCCATCTACTCCATGTAAACACTGCCTGCAGTTCAGCCAAATAGTCCCAGTGTTTTTGTCTGTTGGTTGTGAAAATGGTAGTGACATGGTGTGCAAATTTGTTGTTTTTTTTGTTGTTGTTTTTAAGGAATGTGGTTTATCCAAATGATTCATTTTTGGGTGCGTTTTGAATTAAATGTAAAATAAAGTGATCTTTTTTTTTTTAAAGAGCAATATTTTAAGCTTCGACTCAGTGTAACACATTTTTTCCTTTTTATACATTTTCTGGCTTTGGTAGATGGTGTTATTTTGGCGATTCTTTTAAAGATAACTTGCCTTTTAAATGCACCAACAGGTTCAGAGGGTTAGTTTAGATCATTTGGGTGATGACAGAATCTACAAAGCAGATATTGCGTGTAATCCTCAGACGGTCCAGTTGTGTTTGATCTCATGATTGATAAAGAAGAGAATGAAGTGTTTTGGGGGGTTTTTTTGTGTGTGATTTGGGTGAAGTGACCCTTAAAAGTTAATCATTTGCCTCGGTGTTCTAACATCACTGAATCCTGTCGCTGCTGTCATTAAACGGTTTGTCTGTTCTCTGCTCCATGTCTGTAGGATGTAGCTACTAGTTGTTTGTCTGTCTTGGACTCCAGTGTGTTACTAAGTTTATGCCAACACTGCTGCACTGTACAGCTGTGTGCTTGCGCGAGTCTCCAGCTACCATCTAAGCGCTTGCGTAGACTATTTTTAGTAGCGCCGTTGCACTCCCCTCACAAGCCCATAGTGCATGTGTTTCCCAGAAGGAAGGTAACTGGTAGTTAGGTGGGATGGACGACGTTCAGGCTCAAACACATAAGTACTCTTTCTCCTCAACTACCACTGCTGTGATTGCAGGTCTTAGCGCAGGCAACCAGTAACGCTACACCAGGCTGGCAAAGGCAACAGTATCTGGGCATCTGCCAGGGAATGTGCCAATTAGGGCTTTGACAGTTAATTGCTGGTTCAGTGGCTCAAACGGGGCATATATGCATCCAGCTCAGTGGACTGAACAGGAGATTCCCCTCATCTTGTCTTTTCTGAGGCTTTCTGTAACCCTTAGGCACTGTAGATAGCATGCATGGCTGCTGTAATTACATCAAAACTCTTATTTCATCATATAAAAAAAGTGACTTTACACATGATTATGGATATTCTGGAAGAATGTTGCTGATTTCCAAGTTATGACGATGCATTCAAATCCACAGTGAGGGGCTGCTTATCTCCATTTAGGTAACCAGGGTAGAAAAACATGTTGAAATCCAGAGCAATGTGCTGCTTTTCTCTGTTTTACATCAACTTAAATTGAATATATTCTCTGAAACAAAGCGTGAGCTCTGTGAACTTGTACTTTTCACCCATTTTGTGACTAGAACCGCTGAAAAAACATGTTAATCTGATTATGACCCAAAATATGTAAGATATGTGCAAAGCTTTTTGATTTATGAGAAGTACTTGGGCCTTGTGTTACAGTAATAAATGTCCCCCTCTCAAGTTTTAGCCCCACTTTCTGGTCCCCCTCCCCTACTTGCTGTGCTGTTAGCAGGGTATTGTCCTCTGACTCAACCCCCCTCGTCACGGTCCAAAAGAGACCCCGAGGCAAAGAGAGGTGTGCGTTTGTGTGTTGTGTGCGTACTCGCAAGTGAGTGCACTCCGAGGGGAATAATGAGCAGAATTGTTTCCGCCGTCTCACTTAATCCATGCCTCCGTCTTCAATGCGGCCAAGGCGAAGAGAAGGGGCATTTTTGGCCTTTGCCTCTCAAAGTGTGGTGCCTGTGTGTGTCCTCTGACACACTTTAATACTGTCCTAAACAAGGCTTCACTTTAGATGATGACAAGGCAGCGACTCATGACTGAGGGCAGTGAGTCAGAAGTAGCTGCGGGATAAGCGATGGTGGAAAAATTCGACTAAGAAGCATATAACCAGGAATTTTGTCGGCTGTAACGCTTGAGCACGACACAACGTTAAAACCAGTTAGCATGCGAACGGGGAGGTCAGCTGGACAAATGAATGAAAGAAGAAAAAAAAAGAGCAAAACTTCCTGGAAAAGTGGTTAAAGTAGTTAACTGAAAGTAATGGATAGATAGTAGATGCTCAGCTCCATCTGACAGGACTGTAGGGATCAGGCACAGACACAGCCTCGAGACCAAAGTAAGGACATTACCCAGGCCACAGATTCGATTATACTGAAAGAGCAAGAGGAGATAGCGTTTATCGAGTTTGCCTGTTTTTTATCATAGTTTATTATCACATCTTTATGTGGCGAACAATGTGGGTGTGTTCGAATACTTGGTGTCCAGAAGATGTTGGAGGTAGACAACTGTTGACATATCATCCTTTTTAATTCGTTGTGTCTGCTTGGTATTTTCGATTAGCTCATTTCACCAGACGTAGTGTTCTGTTTTCCAGAAGTGACAGAGTCTGTGCCATAAGTCGTATGACCTCAACCTTCTCGCTTTCTGTCTCTTTGCTGGATTAGGCAGACTGTGAAGGCAGATCAGGCCAAGGGTGACTCATGCACCTGCCTCGAGTCAGGAGTAAATTAGTATTTTTTTTTTTTCTGTGTTCGCATCTAACAAAGCTGTGTGTTGTCTGTTGTGCCCAGGACAACCCTCTGCAGCTGCCCCTGAAGAAGTGCGCGGTGGTGGGCAACGGCGGCATCCTCAGGAACAGCAAGTGCGGACGGGACATCGACCAAGCCGACTTCATCATGCGGTGAGAGTTCCTCTTCGAAGTCCGACTCGGACGTGCCCAAGAAGAGCAGCCAAACATCATCAGCTATCAGTGATAATGAGAGCCCGTGTTGACTTTAGGAAAGAGGCGGGGATAGTAATAAAAATTTAAAAAACAAAGGACATTAATGAGGTCAGGACAATAAACGTGAGTAAGCAAAAGAGGAGGAGCAATAAAAAAATATGTGGTGAAGCACTGAAAAGTATTTTACACTGCATCCTAGGTTTAAGAAACATGAGTTAGTATGACACACATAATAATCTGTTCCTAACTTGTATTGTATTGGTTTAGAGAGATGGAGAACAGCTCTAAAAAAAAAAAGAAGAAGTGATAACTGCACTTATTTAAGCAGAACTGTTGTAGAAGCCACAATTCAGATCAGATTGTGCATCAAGAAAGGTGCGTGACATTTGAGTTCAAACTGAACCACTGAGAGCATCAGGAAATAGCTGCAAATGACACAGTTTCTGCAGAAGAAAACGTGGGTGAACAGGATTCTAGATTCACTGATTTACAGGTGTGATCAACTTCCTCATTTGATCACATCTGTGACTTTGTCACATGTGCTTGTTTGAACATTTGCAAGTTTTGGGGCCCTACAATTAACAGCATTTACAACACTGCAGGCTCCAACAGACAAGAAGAGCGCATTTTTAGATGCCCGTACCGCAGTGGATGGTGTTCATACAACGGTGGGAAGCTAAAAACATGCTTGCCATCAATACTCATTTCCTTGTACAGCCTACGTGATGTGCTTCACCGCAGTGGTTACTTTGCAGAAGTAGCAACAAGCAAAAAATAAGATCTCTTCACCTTGACTGGCCCGATTGTGCTAGTTAAAGTTCATTGTGGTGTGATGTGAAACAGAAAGTTTCCCTCGAACCAGGTGCATAGGAATGTATGTCAGGTGTGATTTTTGTGTTGAATTTTTATCATAATGGTCACAGATGAGTCACCGATGGCTTCACGGTTTATTTTTTTGTGATTTTGATGCCAAAAAATGTCACAATTTTACACTTAGACTTGGTTAAATATCTCTGTAGTTCAAGAATTCTTTCTGTTTTTATGGTTTCTGGCTGGTGGGCTTTAGGATTCAGAGGGTAAAACCACAGATTTTAGGAACTCAGAGACAAACTTCCAGCTTCATGGCAGAAATTGTGAACATCCAGGAGGCAGCATGTTCCAAAACACAACTTTAAAGTGGGCTTTAAAAAGTTGCTCGTGGATCATAAATAGTTTTGTCGTGGGAATTCTCATAAAAGTAGTAGGGGAGCCTATTAATCCAACTGAGGAAGCGCTCACTCCAAAGTAGCTCCACAGCTTTCCTGTGTTTGTCAAAACACATTAAGTTATTTAATTCTGCCTTTTTTTTCTTTCTTTTTTTTTAGCAGTATTATCACTGACCTGTGTATGAAGGGATGAGGGCATTTTGGGTGACTTGACCCCCAGAAGTTGGGTGTGTTTCATCATACTGGAGGCAGTTTTGTGACCAGTGGGGTAGAAAATTCTTGGTAAAGCGGAATCTGTTATGTGGCTGTTCAAAAGAGATAATTTTATCACACGACCTTGCCCAACAGATAAGAAAATGTCTCGTCATCATTCATCCTGATTTCTGTCAAACTGTGACATAACAGTTTTTAGACCCCACCACCAACAAGCACCGTCGGTCCAGCAGCTTAAGGCGAGCAGGTTTTTAATTCCCGGAGAAGGAAAGAAACAGTGACCCAGCAGCATCGGAAAATAGAACAATCGAACCCGAACCAAAGTAGAAACTCATCAAGAGTTGGGAAGCAGGGCAGGACTGATACACCCTGAGGGAAGAAACATTTCAAGGACACAATGCTTTCTCAGAAAAACAAAGAATCATGCCCAAGTCTGCTTCCTTTCCTCCATGTGCTGAGCATAAACAACTCTGATTTGACGGATGTAATGATTTTGTGATCGTAATTTATACCTGGAACATTATCTTGTAATTTCACAATGTAGAAGTGAAGTGCAATGTAAGAGGAAAAAACTAATGAAAGAGAGAATTGTGTAACATATGTAATATGTTTAACTATTTATCACTCAAATGTGGGGGGGAAATTCCACACAGGCGTTGTCGCTCCAATTTTTAATTATTTAAAACATGGCAATGACTCTGCCGGCTTTGCCAAACTGAAAGTTGCGTAACCTCTTCCCAGCCACACCATTTCACTTGTTTGTCTCTCTTCTGCCTTCGTTGCCTGCAGTATAATCATTAGCTGTGACTTCTTGGCCTCTTCATAAATATCTCTGACTTGCTGCGTCCAGTCCATTTAATCATTCACATTCGTCTGTTTCTCCAGCAACATCCGATCTAATCAGCAGAGAAAACAAGCCATAAATGAGTGAATTACTTCAGATAAACCAGTTTAGCGTCTCATTATCTGTACAGTTTGTGGACATGAGAGACAGTGGGCAGCACATTTGTGAAATAATAAACCAATCATGTGTGTTTGGATCATGTAGGTGTAACCTTCCGCCGCTCTCAAAGGAATATGTGGAGGACGTGGGGACCAGAACACATCTGGTTACAGCCAACCCCAGCATCATAGAGAAAAGGTAACCGGATATAAAAGCAACACGAGACCAAGATTTTAAAAAACTGAAATAAAAGAAGATAGAACAAAGCATGAATAGAAAGAGACAACATTGCAACTACCTTTACCTCAGTGTCATTACCAGCATTACTATGTGATGTTCTACCCTGGTCCTATTTAAGCATACTTATTGTATCTAATTGCTTTTTCGGCGCTGCATTTATGAGGTGATTTTTTTTTTCCGAGCAACGTCTGGCACCACAATTCCGTTTGGGAATCATAAAGTTATTCTTATACATATTTCCGTGTCTTACCTGCCTCTGAACTGTACACGGCACATTTTAGAAAACAATTTACCCACCGTGTCTGACGTGAGTCAACCCGTTATGAATTTTATGTTGTGTTTAAGCAAGCGCACAGGATGCTCACTTCCTTCAGGCAGAAAGAGGAAGACGGAGCAGATGACTCAACAGACCAATCATCAGATAATGACTGACTATAAAATGTTCATCTTAATTGTTGTACTGCAGTGTTTAAAATAACCCCCCACTCTTCCTCTCTTCCGTTTGATCTTTGTTATTTAGATTTCAGAACCTCCTGTGGTCAAGAAAAAGCTTCGTGGACAGCATGAAGGTCTACAGCCCCAGCTACGTCTACATGCCGGCGTTTTCCATGAAGCCTGGCACCAGCCCATCGCTGCGGGCGAGTTACGCGCTGACCGACAGCTCCTCCAACCTCACCATGCTCTTTGCCAACCCCGAATTCCTGCTCTCCGTGGGCAAATTTTGGAAAGCCCGCGACGTGCACGCCAAACGCCTCTCCACGGGGCTCTTCCTGGTCAGCTTGGCCCTGGGGCTGTGCGAGGACGTGACGGTCTACGGCTTCTGGCCGTTTTCCGTCGACCTGGACGAGCGACCGGTCAGCCACCATTACTACGACAACATCCTGCCCTATAAGTGGTTCCACGCCATGCCTGAGGAGTTTGTGCAGCTTTGGCAACTGCACAAAAGCGGCACGCTGCGCATGAGGGTGGGGCGCTGCCCCCCTCAGGAAGGAGGGAGTTAGACCGCCTTGAGGAGTGAAGAGATAGCGGTCGGCTGATGCTTAGAGGAGGCAGATGAAGACATTTGGGTTGGCGGCAAGGTGTCACGGTGAAATAAATGAGTGCGCATATTTCCTCTGAGGATCCTCTGTGTCTGTAAACACTCCTGCTGTAACCCCGGCTAATCCCTAATTATCATGAGAATGTCCTCCACCCAGACCAGCAGCGTCAGGGCCACCATACACAGAGACACACGCAGGCACACACAGTGTAAAATATTCATACATTCCCAAAACCTGCCATATAGCTCCCCTTGTGTGTGTGTGCATGGATGTGTGCTTTAATGGATGGCATCAGCTGGGACTAATAATTGTGAAAGTGTGTGGGGATGGATGTATGGGTGGGTGGGGGATGGATTTTGTATGCTGACTACTGTATCTGAGTGACATATGGGGCAGCTGGACCAAACCCCCTTCGGGGTCTTTGTTAAACAGAGACAGAAGGAGTGGAGGACCGGGGGGAATAATAAAACGCACTGAAAGACTGGTGAGATGCAAGGAACGGGGGAGAGATAATGGCGTCCTGGTACCTAGTAGCTTGAATAGACGTGAAATTTAATGCACGGAGAAAAAAGAATGGCAGGGGGGGAGAAGGAGTGAAAGCTGGCTGGTATGTGTATGAAAGGATTTTTTTTTTTTTTTTCTTTCCTGCTTTTCTTCAACCGAGCGCTTGATTGGCATTCTGTGGTGCCAAATAGAGCTTTAGTTCAAAGCAGGAGCCATTAGAAATGGAGTCTTAAGTACTATATCCCCGAGAATGTTTAGCCAAGTTGCATTTTTAACCCTTTACTGAAAAAGGGAACACGAGTACACCCCCGAGTGTCCACGTATTGTTTTTGTTTGCCAAATGTGATTTTTTTTTTGTTTGTTTTTTTTTGTCAGGAATAATGTGAATTCTGTTTTAGGTTCATCATCAAGGGAGAAAACATTATCGTCATGTATAATCAGAAATGGACGTTTTGCTACGGGACAAAAAAAAACAACACATAGGTACCTCACCGTTCATTGATGTTTCATCTTCATCATCACTGAGTGACTCTTTAGTACAATCCATTCACAGGCAGGCTCTTTAGATAAGAAACAGCCTAACCCACTTCTTTAGAGGGCCTGCTGGAAGTCATCTCTTGGTAACTGTACTATACTTGTCAAGTGCCAAGCCAAGGGAACAGTGGTCTCTTTCATACGCAGCCCTGCGCTGCTCTTGTGAGACACTGATATAAACTGAGGTAGTGACAGAAAAAGACAGAGGACTCCGTGTCACAAAGTGGCATTTTAATCTTTTTTTTTTATTGTTTGTTTTTTTTCATTTTTAGATGCAGAACACCTGATAGGTTAAATTGTGATTTTATTCATGTAATTATTGTTATCACTTTACATCGGAGCGCAGGAATAACTGAGCCTCTGCTGTGCTCCATTTTTATTTTTTATTTGAATTCTTTGCATTTTTATTTGCACAAGGGAAACATAACTTGCTCATGTAGAAGCCAAGGCAACAGGCAGATGGTTGTTTTTGTTTTTAATTATATATATATATATATATATACTTGCAGGCCTTGCAGATGAAAAACAATGTACTTGATTTGATTTCTTCAAAATGTTATTTAAGAGTGATAGATGTGACTGTGCCATACTGTCGATAGCAAAGGACGACTCTGCATGGAAAGTGCATGGAGTGTACCACAATCCTTAAAAATACTCCTCAAACTCAAGGTTCAGAACATGTTTATAGGTTAGTGCTTTATGGTCTTATCCAATCTGTTAAAATGAACAAGGTCCAGTGCCTTTGTGACGCATTAAGGCAAAAAGAATCATTGAAACGAGGGATATTTCTAATGCTGTGTTTGATTTTCTTGGCTTGTCTTCGGATCCCTTGGACAGCACGTGATGTATCAATAATCCCCGACGTGTAAAATTCGAATGAATTACACGCAGCTGGGCCAAGTTCTAAAGTGGAAAAAGTCAAATTACGTCCAGTCCAAACGCACATGAGGCTCTTCAAGACTGGGAACTGAACTTTCTGAACACTTTGACCAATTCATTTTACTACTTCTACTTTCTCTTGTGATGTTTCTTATTTGCACCTTTATTTTTTTTTATTTTTTGGGGTTTTGTTTTGTCTCCTGCCCAGTATTGTGAATGAGTGAGATGTGACATAGTGTGAATTTTAAGTAAGCATGATGTTTTTTAAATGTGTATGTGCTTTTGGTACACAGATTTTTTATATATTTTCGTTATGTTCGGATCCATGCCCTCATTCCATGCTATCTGAGTGACCGCTCAGCTGAGATCTGTCGTGGAAAAGGGAACGGAATCTGTGATGTAAATATCGGTCCGCTAGCAAAAAAAGAAAAAAAAGACCAATTAGATTTAGATCTCCTTTTAAAAGTTTTTCAAAAGCTCAGCTCAAGTTCTCGTAAATTGCACTTGCGTTCTTCCTGCTTGCATTCATGTGGAACCCGCGAGTCAGTTCCTAAAACACAGTCATTCGGTCTCAACAGGTTTCGTTATGACGTAGCGCAGAAGAACACATCAGAGCAACGCTGTCTCCATCAGTAACAAGGGCAGCATACGTTAGCAGTTATTTTTCATTAACATTCCACTCACAGGTTTTATATCAAGTCAGGAATGTTTGCTTTCTCGCTCTTGTGTCTGTGCATTAAATATGAAGCTACAGCTAGCTGCTCAACTTAGCTACATTTTGCTGTTTTTGCATTTCCTACATATTAAACCAACAAGATATACCAAGTTATTTACACCACATTTAGCAACCTTGGAGAGCCTGGCTAGCTGTTTCCAGTCCTTATGCTAAGCTAGGCTAACTCACTGCTGGCTGTAGCTTCACATTTAGGATACAAGAGGGACGTCATGTAAACGCATTTCCTAAAATATCAAACTATTTCTTTGAAAGGTGCCGGCGTAAAGCGAGAAGGAAAAGCCAAACAGACCAAAATAGAGCGTGGCATACACACAATGGCGGCCTTGTGGTGTCCTTCCTTTCCTGTCAAGGCCAACTTGACACATTCATCAGTCGACAGTATGTGTGGCTGCAGGGAAACCGATTGGTTAGATTCTGGCCCCTGGAAAGGTCACGTGTTCGAACACCGCAGCAGCCTCGTGATCAAACGTCCTTTAAGCGGACGCTCCTCCTGCTGCGTGATTACAAAGTGAAACCTGCCACCGTGTGTGTGTGTCAAACTATTAGTTCTGTAGCCTCATGATGATCAAGTCTTACACTTTTCAGTCTTGGCAGCAGGAAAACAAGTTGCTCATGCTGATGTCAGACTGCAGAGTCCCAAATGTTACATGTAATTACTTCAAGCCAAGTTTTTCTGTCTGTGTGTCTTCGCCTACCATGTGCAAACTTTGCCTGAAATGACATGATTAACTTAATGTGTTCTGGGTTCAATACGACGAGAAATGAATTTGTTTTAATCTGATGAAACTACTCGATGTTTTGGTGGGAAAGTATTATCAAGTCAATGCCACTACATGTAGGAGTTTTAGCATCTTTTTAAATTCTTTTTGTCTGCTTTCAGCCCCTTAAGCTCTGCTGAAAATGGACAAACTGTTCAAAGGATGGTGGCATAAATTGGTATTTTTGGATGTGAATTTACAAATTCACAGCGCATAGTGGCTTCAAATCCCAATCTTTAGGCATTTTAGTAAATCATGTTAAAACAAATAATCACGTGTAAATACAGTCTGACCCAAGTTGGATGAATATGGGTCCAGAGGGCTCAACTTTCCTACAAGTTTGAATATTTAATGTTATGCCGAGCTTTTTTTGTTTTAAACGTGTAAATGTACTTTATTTGCCTTGATTGACTGAATTTGATACAAAAAGATGAAGGAAAAAAAAAACACCTTTTTGAAGGTATTGCTCTTTGCGCTACTCCGACTTCCACATCCTTCACTCATTCAGATCATCCGATGTGAACGACCCTGCCTGAGCATGTTAAAAATACATCAGAACTGCTGTTTAAAGTAAACCAGTAGTGTGTGTGCCACCTGGATAAAACTGTGAAGGATAAATACCAGAAAAAAAATTAAAATAATGAAAACAACCATATCCATATACAAGGTGAACACCGGAATCCAATAAAAAAGGAAAATAAAACGTCCTCAACTGTGTGGGTTTTCTTTTAAGATTGCTTTGATGTTTGAGGTCTGGAATTCGCCTCATTTGTAGGTGATAAGTCTTGACAAATGCACAGCAGATGTGTTTAAAACTGAAGAAAGTTGTTCACGTCTTTCATCTTTGAAATTCCCACGAATCTGTGCTCAAGGTTCTTGTGAAATGATGCTTTCTCAGGCTTCTGTTTCCTCTGCTTTCGGTTTGTGTGGCTGCAGAGGTATTTGGCTGCCCGTATAGTTTGCTCGTTGGTTATGAATATTTCTGCTCTTGTGCAATGGCATCAGTGAAACCCTCTGCTTGCCACAGCCTCAGTCTGCATGGCTTGTCTTTGAAGGACATGAATTTTTAAAGACGTGTTAGCAAAAGCTGCGCAGCTGTCTCCCAAGCTCCTGTTCCCTGCTCGACCATTCAGCTCCACATGCGCTGTATTTATGATCAAGGCCCTAATTTGTCTATCTGGTGTGGCGAGATAGCGAAGAGGATGGAGCATATTAGGGATGATGGAGATTTAATTAGGGAGGTGTGAAGGAAATTGGACGCCACTGAACTTCTGTGTGCAGGCTTGTGTTTGCTTTGGGTCCTGGATTACTTGAAAAGAAACTGTCCCATCTTCAGGGAATTGTAATATTTTTAGTCCTTGCTAATGGTGTTGGCTCTCGTGATGGCACTACACTGAAATATCTTAACTATGATAAGATAAACTACATGACATTTTGGACATTCCTGGTCCCAAGAGACTGGATAGAACAACTTTGGCGATTTTGTTGACGTTTCCTTTAGCATCACCAGCAGGTCAAAAATTTCACTTATCCCATGAACTATTTTAAAGTCAGTTTGGATTGGCACGAAGTTTGTACAGACATTAATAGTCTTTAGAGGATAAATCTTACAGATTTTGGTGATCCTCTACATTGTCCTCTAGAGCCACCATAAGTTTAGCATTTTTCCTTATCCGTTGTTCCATCTATCCATCTTTATCTGCTTTTCCGGAGTTGTGTTACGGTAGCAGCAGGCTAAGTACATCTTTCTACCCAGCAATGTTTTTCAGCTCCTACTAGGTGATCCCAAGGCCTTCCAAGCCCAACTGAGATTTGCAGTACCCCCAGCAAGTTCTGAGTCTACCCTGGGGATTCCTCCCAATTGGACATGCCCAGAAACCCTCCAAAGGAAGTCACCAAGGAGGTATGCCAGTCAGATGTCCAAACCACCTCTGCTGACTGCTTTTGAGGAAGCAGTGATCCTATTTCAAGCTTACTTCGGATGTCCAAGCACCTTACCCCGTCTCTAAGGTTGAGCCCCGGCCATTCTGCAGAGGAAGCTCATTTTGGCTGCTTGTATCCACGATCTTATTCTTTTGGGCACCACCCAGATTGACCAGTACATTGAGAGCTTCCGTCCTGCTCAGTTTCTTCTTCTCTACAATGGTCCAGTGCAATATCTTCATGACTGCTGTTACAATCCGTCTGGACAAGATCCTGAGATACCTAAGTTCCCTCACAAGGGGGAGCAACTTACCCCATCCCAAAGAGAGTAATTTACTGGTTTCCGGCAGAGAACCATGGTCTCAGACTTGAAGGTACTGACTCTCATCCCTGCTGCTGTACACTGTGCCGTGCTGAAGGTCACGGCTTGATGAAGCAAACATTATTTGCAAAAAGCAGAGAGCAAACGCCAGTGTTCTCAAATTGGAGTACCCAGTCTTCTTGGAGTTTCTTAGTCATCCTCTAACACCTGAATACTTCGGTTTATGACCATAGACCTCATAGAAGATGGACGAAGCTTCAGGGCTGAAAACTGAAGCCAGTCCTGAAATACTTTAAATCTACATTCTTTTTAATGACAAGCTGGGGGCGACTCTTTAGTTGCAAAAGGACGTCAGAAAGTATTTTAGTGATTGAGAAAATTATAGTTTCTTTCTCGATCTGTTGGCGTTTTTATGGTATCAATCGCTAGTGTCAGTTTTCTTTAGTTCCGGCTTGTTTTTCTTTTTGTAAATTTTGGTCCCATTTGAGGACAATAGATGATAAAGCAGAGAGTTCTTTAGGGCGGGGCTACCTTGTGGTCAGCAGGTTACTACTATATTGACATGTATGGTGTCCTCAGGCTCAAAGAGATCAACCCCTTGCTTGTTATGTGCTGTTCAAGGAGGCCAGGATGGCAACGGTAGAAGTCCACGTCACGGTTGCTATGTCCATCTTTAATATACATTCAATGTTTACCACCAAATACCAAAAGAACAAAAGACATTCCTGTTAGCCTCAGCTGTAATTTGCATTTAGTGTTAATCATCAGCTAGCAAACAAATGCCCCACTGCCCCTACAGCTGTGTTCGGTGTTCCTAATTCCGTATTACATACAACCTATGCCCCCAGTGATCAACTCAAGGAAATGCATTTTTTCTACAGACATGGGAGATGAGTACGAGTGAGTAGCTTTCACAGCTAAACTAAATAACTTGTTAGTCTGTTAAATAATAATTGATCGATTTCTCAACTTCCTAGCAGCAGTGTAGTCTCGCAGAAGGTACTTGAGGCAAATTCTAGGCCGGAAAAAACATTTTGCTTTGTTTATAGCTCTGTACATATACCAGTCGACCAGAAGTCCATTCATTCCTATGGTCCCCTCTGTGATCTCACATATGCTTTTGAAACAGTTTCTTCTATTTATTTATTTATTTTACTGCAAATGTTCGCACTCATTAGAATAATGATTTTTAAAAAAGCTAAATCAAGTGCTTTATCAATGTTGTATCTGTCTTTTCTAACCATGAAAAGCTTGAACAGGCAATTTTCTGGCATTAAACACTATAATGTTTGTCGGTGGGATTACCTCAATTATTAGTTTGGTGTCTGTTTGGTATCATGTAGTTTGGCTTCCCACAAAAACAGATCTCTCTTTTTTTTTCTTTTTTTTTATATCTCTTTCTGTACAGTTTTATCTCAGTTACTTTTCAATCCAAGCAGTGTTGCAGTCTGACCACACACTTCCCTCACTCTTTCTCCACTCAATTTAATATTTCTATTTCTGGCATTTGAGAAACCTGCCCATAGAAAGTAGCAGAAGCTAAAGCCTGAGTAGGATTAAGAAACTCCATCACGTGTACGGTGTCTGTGACTATTAAAGCTTATAATAACAACACTTAGACATGGATGAAGGCCTTTCTACAGTATGCCCCTAGAACCCACTCAACATTCAGTTCAAGAATCTTAAAACACACAACTTGAATTTAAGGTTTCGTGTGCCATTCAAAACAGCTTTTTCTGTCACATATATATGCAAGTTAGCTACGCTTTACTTTTTTTTTTTTTACCGATGTGCTACAAAACAGACCTGTATTCATAGAGCTTTAGTGTGGCAGAGACTCAGGCTCTGCTGTGAGTAGTGACTGGACAGAGAAGCAACTGTAACCACTATTTTGGACCTGCAGATCACCTCCTTTAAGTCTATAATGAAAGGCTGAACAGTACTGAGTGGCTGTCTGGCTTCATCCTGTTTTTATTTACTCTTGGCAGGTGACTGCTTGTCTTCAGCTCCATCTTGCATCTTAATAAACAGATTCATTTACACACTTGCAAATCTTCTATTTAACGCTCTCAAATAGCTCCAGATTAGTACACACAACAAGATGAATTGTCCCTTTTAGTGCTCTGGTAAAATGTGTGGCACTATTAAGTATCAGCAGTGGAGCCCAGTTGGAGGCACTCAAGGAGCTGATCAATACTTTCACGGCGCTTTATGGTAACCGATGTGGTGCAGGATGACACTGTGTTGCAGAAACACAGCTCGCTGTCGCTAATGCACACATCATTACTTCATTCCTTCGTCCAACAGACGTGACCGCTAAAAATGCTGGAGTTTCTAAATGAGCCTTTGGTTTTCCCTCTAGATTCCATTCCTCCACATCCTTCCATTCCTCTCCCGACCTCAAAACACACACACAAAAAATATCATCTTACTATCTCGCGCTTCTCCTGCCTCCGCTGAACATGCTTACTTGAAAAAAAAAAATCTACAAATAGCGGAGGTCTCCGGTTGAGGAAAGACAGACAGGAGTTAGATCAATAAACACTCGATACGCTCCTTCTCCTACAAAGGCAGCACCGAGACACCGCCCTTTACATGTGTACAGACTGGAGCTTATTTACAGTCAATGATTTTTTGCAAATGATTGATTCTAGCAGTTCATACAGAATGGATGATGAACTAGATTGCCTTAATAGTGGCAACAGCGATTTCGTTCCAATCCTTAACAGTATTAACGATAAGATGGAGTATACTAGGAGTACAGAATGAATACACTACTGTATCCGTTCACGGCGTTTAACTGACAATGTTCTCTCCCCCCTCCGTCATCCTTCTCTCGTCTTGAATACGAGCGATATTTTTAGGCGGCGAGAAAGGTTGGCGGCGGGAAAGCAAATTAAAGCAGTGTTTCTGCTGTGCCACTTCAATTTTCTCAGCTTATGTAAATTCATCCCTCAGTGCAAACCAATCTCACAAGCGAAGCCTTTGTCGGGATCTGCACTGGTATGCCCAGAAAAAAGAGAGAAGAAAACATCATGTGCTTTCCAAAATGCAGATTTTTTTCCCCCAAATATCTTCAACAATTAAGCCGCACAAAAGCCTGTGACTGGTGTTAGATGACTGCGAGGGCAAGGATTTCTCTGGGGAACAAAGGTCGAGTCAAGAAGAGCAATTTCTGGTTGTTTCACAATTTATTTAAGATAATTAGATTTTGCAATTAGCATCAATGTCTGAAGCTGTTGTTTCAAGACCGTCTATCGTCTCAAAGATGTCTCCTCACTTCAGCAGCTTGTCTTTGAGTCTGAAACTATGCAGCATGTCGATGAGCACAATAATATAGGTAGAAATATTGCTATGAAATGTTCTCTTTACTTTACTTTCTTGTTGGTGCAGTCCATTTTTGCACAATTTTTAAATGGCTTCTGCTCCTTCCTGCTCCTTCTTGCATATTTAATATTCTCT